CAATGCAAGTGCAACATCCAACATGTTTCCTTTTGTTTAGGAGATGCAATTCCAAGTCAATGTCCATGTACTTATCACATATTCTCCTTCATGTTGTGACTACATCTTCATAGTATTTTTCACCAAAAAAAATGTTCTTCAAGCTGATGATTGACATTTAAATATTTCCCTGCTTCATCTGGCATGGAAAAAGCTGCAATATTTCCTTTTTTCTGACCTCATTGCAACTTTGAAAGACATCTTTATTGTCTTATTTTCAAGTATACTTCCCATAATCCAATGCATAACTGATCTAAACTAGTATAGGAATTATAGGTCAATCTGAAAATAAATAAAAACCCAAAGCTAGTAAAAAGCATACGCATCCACATTCACAGAAGGTTAATTACTTCATGACATGCATTAAATACCTCTTCTGTATCCAGATCCATCTTTTAATAATGTTAATTGCTGCTTTTTTTCCAGTCAGGGATCATATATATAGAATAATACTATAACAATTTGAATGTCCCTTCACCAGTTCCTTTGTTTCTGACCTGCTTGGTGGTTTGAAAATTGGCGCAAATAGTTATAACACCGGATGTAAAGAGATAGCTGTTCTTGGAAACTTCAACAATTTTAGATAATTCAACCCTAAACACATCTGTAAAGTAATTTCCCATGTGGTTAGATGCAAATGCTATACTAATAAAACACTTTTGCAAGATACCAAGTCTAACAAACTATAAAGAAATCACAATCACCAGAAATGAAAGACTAACAAACCACTGCAGCTATTTTTAGAAAAAGTGGTTTGTTAGTGGTTCATTAAATGCTATACTATCAAACTACTTTAACAAACGACAAAAATATAGTTTGTTGGTAGTTTGTTTGATGGTTTGATAGTAGTTTGTTAAAAATCTTTTCCGTTTGGGTAATAATAAGTTTGTCATGTTCTGATAGATCTCAGTTCTTCAAGTTTTATTGCTACACTGCAGTGGATCAAAGATGTTATATTTTAATTAGATTGATACCAACAATTCTTAAGCAGTTAGGACATTTTGTGTGGTTTGCACTGCTTGTAAGGGCTGACCTAAAAAAAAAAGGGCTGTAAACTTCAAAGAGAATTACTTCATTTAGACTGATAAAATTATTTTTTTAAAAATATTTATAAAATAAGAATTTTTACACTTTTTATAAATGCATGAGCAGATCTAACATCTAAATGAAATTGATATTTGAGTACCTTTCTGTGGGAATATATATATATTTTTGAATATCAGACAAAAATTATATTAGTAAAATAAAAGTAAATGGAAAATTAATGAAATTAAAAAAAAATCCTTCCCTTCCTCCCTCCTGGGACTGAAAACCCCAGGCGCCAATTCTAAACAAACTTTTTTTTGGGGAAGGATGACCTTAAAGAAACATTTTATATGACTGAGCATAGGGTTCATGAACCTGAAAGCTATTGTAAATTAATAGCTACAAATAGAATTCTTAAATCCTAAATACAGTGTAAGCTTTTTTATTCCAGAATGCCTAGAAAGCGGCGGAATTCTGTAATGCAGAAGAAAAAGTACCACTACAAGAGGGCCCGAGACGAACAATCCTATGTACAGTTGGAACACAATTATGTCCGAAGTCCCAGTGAGGCTCCAGAGACTGAAGGAGACAGATCCCCTTGCTCAAACTGTGAATCTGATGGTGAAGACTCAAGTGCAGAGGAAATGGACATAGACAATTTGGATTTGCATGCAGGCATCCTTGTGGGAGAAAGTGTTGAAGTTAAGACAGAGGAAGTGACAGATCCATTTGAAATTTTACGATATGAGTTGACTGAAAATGTGCCTTCCCCGTATATTATGGACTTCAATGAAAAGCAACACAGTATTGAAATTCTCCAGCTCTACAGACGGGAACACAACACAGCCGTGAAGTTATCTCTTGTGATCGGGAAAGACTGCCATGTTCAGCTGTATGTTCATCGGACATTAGTTCCTGAAACCCATGATTTTTGGAGTGAGCTTTCAACACACGTCCACAGTGCAAGTGATGTTTTCAAGATTCTGGAAAAACTTTCAGAGTATGGAGTGTGCGTTGGAGACCCAGATCCAGAATTTCAGGAATTGACACCAGTTGGATGTGGAATCTCGAATGCCTCATCACCAGAAATTTTAGCCTACCGTGAAGGTGACTTTTGTGCTGTCCAAGGGAATTTGTCATATTCATCTACCATCAGATCTTCCCCAGTGTCTATGCTTGTTCTTGGTGCCAGATGTCCCCAGTGTTCAAGCTATCGTCGACAGTTGAAGGCACGGAAAATCCGACAGGAAAAAGAAGACAGGAAAAGACATTATCTTTGAGCAGCACCTATAAACATACTGATATGAACAGGGATATGCTGATAAAGAAGTTAGAACAACAAAAGGAACAAATCAAGTCCATGCAACACACGATTGATAAGATGAGAAGAGACTGTGATAAGGAGATCATAAGAAATGGCATTTCCATGAATTCCATCCAAAATCAGGAGGTATGAGATTTGATGGCTACCTGTGAGGAAGAGATGGTGGCAGCTTATCCTGACTGCAATTCGTTTCAACGTCTCTTTTTGGAACAACAGAAAAAGGCAATTAAACATGGAAAAAATGGTATGCGTTGGCATCCGACAATTATTCGATGGTGTCTCTACCTCAGGCAGAAGTCATCAAAAGCCTATGATGCTCTTAGAGACTCAGGATTCATCACACTGCCAAGTTCAAGAACTCTCTTTGATTACACTCATTATCTAACCAGTGCCCTTGGTTTCCAGCCAGATGTTGTCAAGTTATTACGAGAGGAGTGTGAAAAAGAGAGATGTTACAGGAAGAATGGAAGAGCTACACCGGCATTTTGTTTGATGAGATAAAGATCAAAGAAGATTTAGTGTATGACAAACACTCCGGAGAAATCATAGGCTATGTGAAGCTTGGGGACATAGGAGATCAACTCTGTGCATTAGAGAGAAATGTTAGCGGAGATGCAGGAAACTCTAGTGTAGCCAAATGTATCCTCGTTCTGATGGTGCGTGGAATTACGAGTGACCTTAAGTTTCCATTCGCAGCTTTTGCTACTACAGGGATAACAGCAGATTTCCTTTATCCCATCATTTGGAAGGCTGTTGAACTTTTGGAGACTGTGGTGAAAGTTAAGGTGCTATTTCTCACCTGCGATGGAGCATCACCTAATAGAAGATTTTTTAATTTGCACAGAGTTGATGAAGATGGGATTGTCCATTTCACTCAAAATCCACATGACCTGTCAAGAAAAATCTTCTTTATATCGGATGTACCTCATCTGGTTAAAACAACAAGAAATTGCTTCAGCAACTCAAATTCCCACTCAAATACCAGGAAATTATGGAAGGATGGAAAAGACATATCGTGGCTACATGTGCTGAGACTTTTTGAGGAACATTGTGAGAACAATCTGTATTCCACCTGCCCAAAGCTCACACGATTACATCTTGACTTGACAGCCTTCAGTCGAATGAAAGTCAGTCTAGCGGCCCAAGTGCTTAGTGATACTGTGGCAAATTCACTTGAATTTCACTCTGATGATACAGTGAGTGAGACAGTGAAATTCATAAGGATTATGAACAAATTCTTTGACTGTTTAAATGTAAGGAATCCATTTGAAGGCAGAAATAAACGGAATGCCAACCTGGACCCTTACCGATCCACAGATGATGTGAGATTGGGATGGCTTAAAGACAATTTCCTTGATTACCTCCAGGAGTGGAGAAATTCTGTGAACAACAGAAGGAACCTTTCAGATTCACAAAAAGCGTCGATGCAGCTAAGCTACCAGACCTTGAATGGACTCAAAATTTCTACTCTGTCCATCACTGAGTGTGTCAAGTTCATGTTGGACAAGGGAGCATCCTATATATTAACCCATTGCTTCAACCAGGATCCCCTTGAACAACACTTCGGCCACTACAGACACAAAGTAGGCCATAACAACAATCCAACTGTGTTTGAAGTGAAGAACATTCTTACGCAAATTAGAACTGTAGGTGCTTTGGCTTTGGGGCCGAAAAGAGGCAATATTCAGAGGGATGAAAATGTGAACATTGCTGACATTAACAACAACAAGTTGCCCAGGAGGAAGCCTATGAGGATGTAATTCACTCAGGACCAAAGTGTGACTGTCCCAGAAACTATGAAAACCTTATTGTACAGCTGTAAATGTTGACATTTTGCTGTTATTTATTTATTTATTTATATGTCTTGTTTGTTTTTGTTTTATCATAGTTGTTAATTGTAATAAATTATCTGTGAGGATGTAATTCACTCAGGACCAAAGTGTGACTGTCCCAGAAACTATGAAAACCTTATTGTACAGCTGTAAATGTTGACATTTTGCTGTTATTTATTTATTTATTTATAAATATGTCTTGTTTGTTTTGTTTTATCATAGTTGTTAATTGTAATAAATTATCTGATTTTCAGTTGGTTTTATTTTCTACAGTAAAACAAGTTCCCTTCTTGCTTTACAAAAGAGCTTTTAACTGAGACTAATATCTTGATGCAGTTGTAAAATCTTCTACAGAATCCATTATAAATATTACCTGCATTATTAAAAATGCTGGTACATTATTATATATATCTTTTAAACTCCTTTCAAAGATAAGTCCCAATGTTAAATTAATGTGAAAGAAGAATGTATTTTGCAAAATTACACTTTGGTCTTGGTCACAAGTTCTTTTGTATTACATAATCCTTTGAGAATTTGATACCATGCTGTCAAAGCTGCAGGTAGAATCCATGGAATGTCACTGTGACATCTCCCTGAACTGGTGTATACAGTTCTTTAAAGATACACAGACACAGACTTGAAATTACTATTATTTCAAATTTTCTGTAAAATATTACAACATGTTTATCATATTTATTCTAATAGTATTTCACAAGAAAATATAATAATAAAAAACTTTATTTTATTTGGAGGTTATGGAAACTTTGAATTTCTGGTTTGATTGACACGTCCTTGAATTTACACAAATTATTATTTTCTTCTGAGTCCATAAAAAAATGGAATTTTTGTTGTATATTGAAAGTTTGATGAAAATCAACTTCAAATCTGTGTCTTAGTACCTTTAACATAGATATTGCCTCAGCAGTGTGGACTGGTAATATTCCACGATTTGTAATTCATTAATATTCAAAAAATACAAATTGAATCCCCACTCCCCCCTCTCACTGGACAAGGAATGACACATTTTTTTTTTTTACAAATTTATTGAATAATAATATCATTGGTTGTATCAAATAAATAGATCTGTTGAAAGCATATTCATCATTAATCAACATAAAGTACATTACTACAGGACAAAAAAAGCACACAAGTCAGATAAAAGTTCAGCAGAAGGCATTCACAATTTTCAAAGTGGTCAGTTGCTGGTCTTTGCTTTCAGCGCCTGTCGAAGACTGTCACTCGGTTTCACTGATTTTGCATTCAACTTCTTGCGAAGAAGTCGGGTCACAGCATACCCCCTCACCGTGGTGAACACACATACAATGTCTTCCAAGAGTGGTAGTAAGTCGGTCTCCGGAAAATCACCATACAATTGAGTCATGTAATGTTTCACCATGAATGAATCCATCATCTTCTCTTTCACTTCACAACTGTTCAATGAAATAGACTGCAAGTTGTCAAAGTCCACTATCGTCCTGATGGTGTTCTCCAGTTCCCTCACAAGCAGGTAGAATGCATCTGTTGGTCTCAATAAGCCACCACGAGTACTTTTAGTCAGCCACTTGTCAAACTCAGCAATGAAACTGGAGTTGTTTTTTTCACATGTTAACTTCTCCAGCATCTGCAGTCGCTCATCACGGTCTTCCTTCTTCTTCCTGAAGCTTTTCTTCTTTAGACTTCTCACAATGAAACCACAAATGTAAAACAGAATTTGCTGGTCATTTTGGGAAAGTTCCTTTGACTGTTGCTCAGACACAGTTTTGTTTTGTTCAAGCAAAGTGTTCACAATCTCACAGGGCAGGTTTAGAATGTACGTCTGAAGAAAGTTCACGATATCCTCGCTCTTCTCGGTGCAGCCTCGCTCAATGAATTCTTTCACACAGTCGCGCTGTAAGATGGCTGATAATCTAAGGGCATGAAGTTTGGTATAGAAAACCTCCCTCGAAAGGTTGTGACACAAGTTCAGGCTGAATATGTCTGTTAGGTGGTTCACGAAAAAGGAATCCAAGAATTCCTGGGTGGCACAGAACACGGCAAGACGCACAGTCACAGTATCACCGAACAACTGGTACATAGGATCTTCTTTAATCTTCTGAAGAGTTCTGGTGCTGGCATTACGGATTACCCCATCAAAGTCAGGAGTTGAAGTTGGCACAAATTTTATTTTCTCACTCACTGGTGATGTCCGTTCTTTGGCTCTGTGGTCACTGGCTACAAATAAAAATGTACATATTTAGTAACAAGAAGACAATGAATATATATAGTTTTTTTTTTCTTAAAATTAGAAAAAATAGATTTCAATTACCAAGTGTTTGATTTAAATAGTCATAATAGGGGCTTAATTTCTAATAACAAGAATTATTTAATGACAGGAAATTCAAGTTGAAATAATTCCTGATATCAAATTAAAAAAGATTGTAAATATTTAACTTTTATCCTGGGTTTGTTGTGTTGTTTTGTAACATGACCCCTAAAACCAGAGATGGTTTTAAGGATTTTGTTACATTCTGGACACTGGTAACCAAGGTGCTCTTGTGGTGGATTCTTTTCAGGTGATGAGCCACTGGCATTGTCATCGTAGTCTGTGTAATCACCTAAAAGTACATCTAGATCAATATCACCATCCCAAGACAAAAAGTCCTCTTTGAGGCCATTTTGATAGCACAATATCACGACAATAACGAAACACACTGCTGTGCAGCTTGGCAATTTTAATTTTTATGTCTCTATAAAAACACCTAACTGCATACCCCCTGCTCATCGTTAACACCTCCCCGGAGTCTTAAAACAACACATGAGGGGTTCAAACACACTTACCAGGTAGTATGCATTATCTATACGTCCCCGTAATCAGGTTCCTGCTGTAATTAAGTATATATGAAAACACTCTGACTAGGGACCCGTGTTTATTTAAACCAGCCCCGTTAAAACGCCAATTAAATCGTTTGAAACAGAAAGAAAACGTAAAGCTTTTAGCCCGTTAATTAATTCTACCTTCCAAACATAATAAAAAAGCCATTACCACATCAATTAGTCGTTGTACGGCCAAAATGATCTTCTGTACAGGTTTTGTTTACATCGAAGTCGCTTCCATTTTAAATCTCGCTTATAGAGTTGAATTAGCATATGAATAGGGTCTTACAAGATATCGCGAGACTTGCAAATGTTGCCTATCCCGTTAGTATATAGGTCCCTGCTGTAAATAGATTAATATTTTAGCTCATATTTTTAAATAAAATAATGCTGTACCGACAAACCACCCTACTCGTCTCTGATCAATGTAAATCGTATGTGCCGCATTATTTAATGCTATATTATTTGGAGTTAATTGGGTTTTTTCTGTATATATTTTAATTTATTTATTTTCTAATCTGCACTACTCATTTTGTTACTAATAAGTTATAAATCATGTATTTGGAGTTTATGTTATCTTTATTTCAATTTGTTTTTTCAATCTGTGCCAGCTCTTCCGTTTGCTATAAACCAAATATAGCATTTAATTCTGATGGATACATCAGTGCACACTTTAATAAGTGAAAAATCATGATCTCTTTTTCAATTATTATTATGCCAAATAATTACCCAGAAATGAAAAAAAGAAACGTATTTGTTCATCAGGTTTATTTGTTTTCAGCATATGTTGATTTCACATGATAAGTCATTAACATTTTAAAATTACATATTCAATTTATAAATAGCATGTGTATGTTCAACATCATCAGCAATTAACATGCATTCTCTGTAAGCACCAAAAAATTTACTATAGGGCTTGGAAACGACATATCTCCGATTTTGATGAAATTTGCACCACAGGTGCACCTTGGTACAAAACCAGCAAATATGGTGTTAGAAGTTTCCCACGTGCACCCGGTTGCCATGGAGACGATCCATTGAATTTGGCCATTTTGGCCATTTTTGACCAAACAAAAGCATGAAAATTGAGGAAATATGAATGCATTTTTGTCTTTATGTAGTGAACTCAAATATGAATCTTTGTATCATAAGAAAACATCAATTGTTAAAGAATACAGGGCATATAACCAGTTATTCCAGAATTGACCCCACTCTTAGAAAATGGTTCGGGAAAATAGCATAGTTTCTCAAAATGTGAAAAATGGAAAATTTGGCATTTTTTGAGAAATTTAAGGCTAAATAAAAAAAATTGTCTACGGAAATTTTTTAAATCATATGCGTGCCGTCAAACGTCAGTATTAGTAGTGTCCCCTCATGAAAAAATTGGAGTGGGATCTCAATGCTATTTTTAGTAACATGTATCTAAAAATAGACATATTTCAGAAAAATCCAAAAAATGAAATTTGGGCAGAGTTTTAGATGCCATTGCTAGGTAATTATGAAATATACTGTAAAAGTCAATGTGCTAATGCCAGAGACTGGACACCAATAACTACCATGCATATTATTTTCAGGGATTTCCGTTTTCTATTTATAGCTTCAAATGCCTAAATATAGACATGTCTCATAAAATGATGA